CAAGGACCATCGGATTTACCAATGCTCCAGCTGTTATCCAGGTGTTGGTGAATGATGTGCCTTGAGAGTTCCTCAACCGCTCCATACTAATCTGTCTGGATAATATTCCCATCTTGTCTCACACTATTTTGGACCATTAACGCCATGTTTATCAGGTACTCCAAAGATTACTTGAGAGCAGACACTATGTTAAGGGTAAGAAATTGAAGTTTCATGTTGAAGGTCAAGGTGTACTCAGCCAAGGTTCAAGCAGTGATGGAGTGGCCAGACCCCACAAGTCAAACAGTTGCAACACTTCATAGGGTTTCCTAACTTACTGGAAGTTCAGAGATTTCGGTAGACTTGCCCTACCTCTCACGAGTCATGGAATGCTGCAGCCCATCAAAAGCATTTAACACTCTCAAAGGACGGTTTCCCCAACTTCAGTTTTGATTGGGCCAAGAGTTGCCCTCTCACAGCAACTGAACAACAAAATATAGTTAGCTCGCTAGTTTCCATCTAAATATAATATACCATGTTCTGACTGAGGGATTTTCGAAACAAATTAAGACGTATACTGTAGCTCTGCTATCACTTTCAACATAAATGAAGACAGTAAAGTAAACAGCAGTGACATTTGTAGAGTTACTGAAGTTAGGCTAGCTAGTACATGATCGCTAGTGACACAGCTATGTTAGCATAATTAAAACAGTGAAGCTGGAGGATGAACGCTAACTTTTTCCCACCCGATAAAAGTTAACGCGAGGGTTCCGGATGGTTACAAACAAATGCAATCGCATGACAGGATGCTGTAAACGGACCGAACTTGAGTCACGAGAACAACTGAGATAATCCATCCACAATACGAGGTTAGTCATTAATATACTGCTGCATGGGCTGTAGTTACATCATAAGGTTTTAAAAACTGAGCTTTAAAATGAATAGAGGTAATAAAAACCGAGAGAGGCCGACAGTGATCACTGACTGTGATCACTGTTGAGATTAAATAGAACAAGATACAAAGCATTAAAACATATTAAAAACACAAAGGCCTTATTAAACACAGGGTAGTTTGGGCCCGGAAGCAGGATTTGTCATGTCATCACTTAAAGACCGGATAGTTGATTGGAAAGGATATCTGCCAGAGGAGAGGACTTTGGTTCCACAGTCAAGGATGCCTCCTTGGTTAGAGATTTTCAACGTAGGCATTCCAACAAGCCAGGTTAGGTCATCTGGAGCCTCTTATTGTTGAGGGGTGGGGTAGGGGGTACGTCATGGTCTCCTTGTCCTCCTGTGTTTACCATCGTTTTCTACCGTTTCTCCACCTTATGCTCGAATGCTTCTCTCTTCTGTGGTGTGCATGTGTGTTTGTTGTAACTCTGCTTGTTTGTTTCAGCGGCAAGGTCTTGCTGGCTCTCCTACCTTCCTTGTTGATGCACCTGGAAACAGCTAAGTAATGATCTACCTGAGTGCAATTTGATTACTCTCCTGCTACTAGGTCCTCAGTTGTTGCTAGATCATTGCACTTACTGTAAATGGTAAATGGCCTGTATTTGTATAGCGTTTTACTGTGGTAGTGTTCTGGGTTTTTGATTTGTTCTGGACTTATTCTGTACTCTATGGCGAAGCCATCATGGTTTCTAAAGAGAGAAAGTGGTGAAGAGAAAACCAAACAGGTTACCTGTTTGGGGGGTATCTGGAGTCCAGTCCAGATCTGTTTTGGTACCTTGAAAAAGAATAATTTTTGCCCACAAAACCATCTTTGGTCTATCATAAGTGTTAAACCTTTATACTGAGGGAAACCTCCCCCTCCACAGAATATAAACCTGTGTACATTTGACATTTTGATATTTTAGAAGATCATATCAAATGTTAAATGGTTTCATTCTCTCCTGTCAGCCTTTGTCTTTTTGGTAAAATGAGTTCAAATTCAACACTCAGGCCCCTAACTCTAGCAAATTAGGTATTTTCCCCTCTGTTATAATTATGTCTCCAAAGTGAGTCATAAATCAAAAGTGCAGCTGCTGAAAGGGTGCCTCCGTTTGTGTGTGCAGGTACACACTGCCCCCTAACAACCACAGGCAAGGACTGCAACCACTTCTTATATGTCATACATTTCCCGGTGTTATTACACTATCCCTAAATCCATCATCGTCACGTCATCTAAGCTGATTTTGTTGGAAAAGCACCAGATTTAGCTGTGAAGTAATGGAGTGAATAAAATAGTGTGCATACAACTAGAAATATGTTGAATGGTTGGGGGGAGGGGGGGCTGCAGTGTGTTACTCTACTTTTGGAAAGTAAAAGAGTTACATGGGATGTAATGGGAAACAGACCAATGTAAGAAAAGAGATGATTTTTTGAAGAAGAAAAAAATCTATTGGTGCATAGCTTCATGTTACTTATACATTATATAGTTATATGCTGCAACATCCTGGCAACCTGTCCAGGGTGTATCCCTAAGGGGGAGCCCTAAAGTCAGGTGTTGTGGTGCAGCTGGGAGAGAAGACATGCATAGAAAAATGTTTCATGAGTTGTTTTGTGACTTTCAGTCAATTTTCCTTTGTGTAAGGCTGCAATCAGCTGGCCTGTGCTGCTACTCTGATATTCACTGTGTTTTGAGGATCAACCCCACTGAATTCAACAACATATAAGCAGATGTTTCACAAGCTCTATGGCTGATTTCCATCCCCTGGACACTAAGGAAGCTAGTATGAAAGGGAGTCTGTGAGTGAATCTAATCAGCATCATGACCTCAAATATACATGTTTTACTCTTGATGTAATGATTACATTAAACACCACAGCATGCTATGCATCAGCCCACCATAGTGCATCACTGCAAACTACACTGCTACTGCCAGCTAACCAGTTTAGCCTGTACAAAACCATACCAAACTTTGTAGTAGTAGTATGTTTTTATGCAATATATATAATTCAGCAACACATCATATATCAATCCAATATCTGTTTTGAAAGCTCTACAAAGAATTAGGACATTAAAATAGGCTTTTTATAGCCTGTTTATAAAGTTTGCTTGCTGAAAAGTCCTTACCTTTGTAAAAATCTTTCTCCATCTAGGTGTGTTACAAATTAACAAGCTGCTCCTAAATTCAGATCAAACTGAGGTATTTGTACTCAGCCCTAGAAATCTTAGAAACCAAATACTTACTCTGGGTGGCATTACTTGGCCTCCAGAAACACTGTGAGAAATCTTTGAGGTTTTTGTCTTTCAATACCTTTGAATTAAGCAAATATGTAGGACTGCTTTCTTGCATTTTGCAGTATCTCTAAAATTACAAACACATTACAAACAACAGATGCTAAAATGCTACTAATTGTATTTATTACTTCTAAGCTGGACTACTCTAGTTCATTATTATCAGGGTGTCCTATAAACTCCCAGAAAAGCTTTCAATTGATCCAAAGTGCTACAACAAGTGTACTGACACGGACTAGAAAGATAGTTGTCCCATGATAACTTCTCTTCATTGGCTCCGTGTTAATCTAATAATCAGGCCCCATCTTATCTTAAAGACCTCATAGTACCATATCACCCCACTTTGCTAACAGACTACAGGCTTACTTGTGGTTCCCGCTCTGGGTTTTTAAGTATAATGGGAAGCAGCGCTGTGTGGAACCAGCTCCTAGTTTGGATCTACTTCTAAGATCAAACTTTCCTTTTTGATGAAGCTTATACTGTATTAGGTAACCCTGAATCTTCCCTTACTTAAACTGCACTAGGTCTAGGCTTTCTTCACTCACTTTGTTTTAATTCATTGTGTGTTTATTCACCACTCTGCATTTAATCGTTAGATATTATTCCACAGTATGTCTTTTGCCCTGTCTTCTTTTCCTCACCCAAAGCTGCCCCTCCCTGAGTCTGATTTCTTCTTTTTAAAAAGGAGTTTTTTTTCTCCCCGCTATCACCAAGTGCTTGCTCAGAGGGGGTTGTTTGATTGTTGCCATTTTTTCTCTTTGGTACTATATAAATAAAACTGAAGTGAAATGAATTTTTTGTGACCACAATTTTTAGGTTGGAGCTCCAAAACTTCGGAACAGCCCTCCTCTGCCTTATCAGGTCAGCTCAATGTTTGGTTTGTATTAAAAAAGTGTTTTTATAAGTTACCTTTACCCTCATCTTTAATTTTTGGCTCTCATTCTTCTTATATGTGTGTTGAAGTGTGCATGCAGCAGTTAATGTAAGTATTTGTGTGTTTAAATGTACACTTATTATTAACACGTGCTTCTATCCAATCTGTGAAGCACTTTTTTTTAAACTGTGTGTTTTAAAAACAGATATACAAATAAAGTTATTGTTCTTAGAAATGCAATGCCGTCTAAGAATCAGGACCACAGACACCTTCTCTGTGATCATATCCATGAACAACATTAACAAGATAGTGACGTTCGACAGTATAATGTATCACAGTGACTCACGGGAGGAGGAAAGCTCAGACAGTAAATGGACCCCTGTGTAGGTAGCATGTAGAGCTCTGCAGTGTGACCAGGAAACCTAATCCTCTGCAAACAGCCACCCTAGGGCCAAAACTGAAACCCAATCCTGCATGCACACCAAAACCCCAGAAACCTGCTGCAATCTGCATAAAGGTCAAAGTTACAGTGTTTTAGTCCTCAGATCACTGAAAGATGTTGTCTTTATTTCACTACTGTATTTACCGTAGAACTTACTGTACTACTCGAGCAATTATAACCTCAAATGTGTGAATGGCTGTTGTAAGTTAGCAGCTGAACTAAGCAACAGCTCCGCCTTACATGAAACTGTGCTTCATGTCCACGAATAAATGTCGTCATTTTTAACTATACTGTCACAACACACAAGGAAATACCATCTGTAGATGAAGATTGTGAGGAACGACAGAAAGCTGCAGCAAAGCCACTAAATGGTTTTCATGTGATGTAATTTTATTCAAATGCTGCTTCAAAGGCCATGAATGATTTTAAAATGCAAAAATACTAATTGATAAAAAATAAACAATATGAAATCCTCTAAATCTCAAAATGATTCAGTAGTAACATTAGCTCCTTTTACTCAGATAAAAAGTAGTTTAAATACTGAGTTAGCTTCTAACGTATTTTCCTCTCCAGAGCAGTGAGAGGACGGCTGGATGTCTTCTCAGGAAGCACCAGTCTCAGCTTCCTCCTGAGGGAAGGGGAGCCTCCTTCCTCAGGCAGGTACTCTTGCTGCAGCAGAGCAGCTGCTGTGGAGGATTCACTCTCTGTGGATATACCGGGCACACCTGATACGCCTGCCTCCTGCATGCTGGCTCCAGACCTTTCCACTGCAGGCACCTCAGTTTGAGCCACACCCCCTACTGATATATCAGCTATTGTACCAACAGATACATTCCCAGTCTCTGCCTGACTGTTACTAATTGATATATTCTCCACTGTGCTCGTTGGTTCGAGTCTTTTGGGGGCAACTCAGACATACAATCCTGCGAGGCAGGGAGGTTCTCTTTGGTCATGGATGTTTGAGGTTCAACAGATAGCTCATGCAGTCCTGCATTCTGAATGACTTGTCCCTGCACTAGTTCAGGTTTTGGCATGGCTACAAGAGGAGCACTGTCAGGAAGCATTTGGCTCTGAGAGGGGGACTGGACAACTGCAGGATTAACACCTGGGTTTGCTGCTAAGTTCAAGGGAGCTCCTCCGGTCTGAGGTGTTGCACTTGCATGTAAAGGGTTAGCAGCAGACAGAACTCCCCCTGCAGCTTCTCTAATAAGCATGTCTGGAGCACTGCTTGGAGCCACGTTAGGCCCACTGAATGCTATACTAGGAGCTGGACCTCTGGGGAACAGCAAATTTGATCCTGAGGCCAAGGTGCTGAGCAGAAAGTTCCCCCCTGGAAGAGAGAGGCTGCTGCCGCTTAGCTGTGAGCCAGCTGAGCCAAGCAGTGAGAGGTTGGTAGACGAATGCTGAGCACTACCCAGAGTCAGGCCAGTTCCTTGATACTTATTACCCAGCAGACTTTGCCCATGTCCACTAACAATAGTGGACCCTGATTGGTCAGCAGCACTGCTGCTTTGCACAGACTGGTTGTTCTCTGGGTATCTACTGTCTTCTGTACTTTTCTGGTCATTGTTATCACTTTTGGAAGTTGTTTTTTCAGAGGGTGTTTGGCTTTTCTGTCCTTCCTCTCCTCTGACCTCTTCTTCCTTGATTCCAACCTCAGCCGATGTCTCAATCTTGGAGGATTTTCCAATTTTTTTCTTGCTAGACTTTCCTTTTTCTTCCTTCTCCTCACGTTCTTTTCCATCCTTTCTTTTTTCTTTGCTTTTCTTGGAGCTGCTTTTCTCCAAAGGACCCTGCTCATTTTTCTTCCTTGGATGGACTTTGCTTTTTCTTAGTGGATTCAAGTTTAGTTTGACCTTCACCAACCGGCTGGACTGAACTTTCTGCCTCTTTTCTCTTCTCTTTCTTTGTCTCTTATTACGTCCTCCTCTCTCTTGTCCTCAATTTGACTGTTTCCTTCCTCCAGGGTTCTTGAACTCTGCAGATCAAACGACACATTTCTGATTACTTTTCTCAACTCTGTGTTCTTCATCATGTCAGAGTGGTTATGAGCATTCCTTCCGCTTTCATTCAGCCTGTACTGAGAAGAGAAGCCATTAGGGAGAGCAAAGTCTCCTGGATTGGTCCCAATCTTCCGTTGTCTCATGTCCTGCTCTGCTCTGTATGTCCTGTGACAACTTTCACAGCGTAAACTCTCATATCCTTTAATCTTTACTTCTGCGTGTGTCCTGTGATTGTTCACATTTCTGCCGTTCTTGCGGGCTGGCAGGATCTCTGCTCTCTGATTAAAGGCTTCACTCTGTGGATAAGAAGATGAATTTGTATTTTCTTGAAAACAAACTTGTTAGGGGTGTCCCTGTTCAAGATTCTATGCTGAACTTCTGTCCTTTTCCCCTCCTCGTCGGGTATCCTTCTTATTTTTCTCCTTTCTCTGTCCACCTCTGCCTCAATCCCTCCATTCATCCTGTTTTCTCTTCTCATTGGTTCAGCTGTGGTGCATCACTGCTGCAGTCAGCACAGCTGAAACAGCCACCGTTCTCATCAGTTCTAAATCTAAACTGGTCTCTGGGTTCATTTGCCCATGTGTCCAAAGTCACGGCGTCCTTGTTCCACTGCTGCCTGCTGTTTTCTTGCAAGAAAACATCCCTCCTCCTCTCTCTAACATCGAGGTGATTAACACGGTGGTTAGCTGTGCTGCTGCTTCCTCCTTCTTGCTCTTTCAGTCTTTTACTTTCTTTCATTTTTTCTTTCGAGACACTTGATAGTAAATCAGAACTATCAGCAGAGTCAAGCCAACGCCACCTGAAGCACAGGAGAATGAGTTTGATTGGGTATTAAAGGTTCTGCAGTGTATTTTTCTCCTGTTTTTATTTTCGAATGTTGATCATGTTGTTGCTTCAGCTGGGTGTTCTGTGCTTATGATTCTCCATCTAATACTCCTCTTTTCTTATTCTTTCATTAACGTCTAAGAGTTAAATCATTGTTCTTTTATCCTGTGTTGTTTATCATTCTCACCAATAAAGCAGATGACTGCAGTGATGGCTAGATCTCGAGCATACAACTGAGGCGTTACGCTGGCTCTTGGCTCTATATGCACTGTGATGTTCTGATTGGACGGGACACAATTGGCATCGGTCAGCTCCAGCACTGTGGTTACAGCTGGGTTGTCAGCGCTCGCACAAACCATCCTACGGCCATTGTAGAGGATCTGAGATCAGCACAAATAGAAAGAGAAAAGATTTAAGTCAGTTCAGGTTGTACTGGTGAGTGGACGTAGGTTTAGTGGGGGGAGTTCCTGTACCTTGTCAGGTTGTTGGATGAAGGTGGACAGGAAGTCGGCGAGCTCCAGCAGCTGACAGGAGCAGTTCCATGAGTTGAGGTCCAGGTTGAGATTTGTCAGCCAGGTGAGGTAAGAAAAAGCATCCACAGGAGCAGAACTCAGGCGGTTTCTGGAAAGATCCAGAGTCGTCAGGCTCACCAAGCCACGGAAACTAAGACACAGAGGGTTATATATATATTACATTAGGTTTGGTGAAGGTCCTTTATTTCTTTTAAAGGAAGGAAATAAATAAACATTGTAATATTAACTTCTTACCTGTTTCTCTCCACATGCTCAATCAGATTATCTGACAGATCCAGATTCCTGAGTTCTCTGAGGTCATTTAGAGGGAAGGAACGAGAATCTAAGCTGGTGAGCAGGTTTCCCTCCAGTGTAAGACTCTGCAGAGCCTTGGCACCTTTAAACCAGCCACCCTGGATCTACACAGCAACACAGAGTTGATTCTTACTTCATGTATTTAGTCCCAAAACTTAAAATGCTGTATGTTCTTTAAATGCACAAGAAACGTTGTGGAAGACGATAAACATCTACTACCATCTGCACATAGTATTTGGTTTTACTGTCTATGTTTTATATAAAGGTTATCTTCTTTCTAAATGCCAGCAGGTAGAAAAAGGTTCAGCTTCCATAGGAAGATTACCCTGGGCAGCCTTGCTCTATTACCTCAGTAAACACTTTACTCATCATTTGTGACTTCTATCTCTGGTTTCAATTTTTGCTGAATACAATATGATGCTCATTTTGCTCATTACTGTCCCCATAGGTGTCCAGAAGGAGAAAAGGAGGATATGCTTCACCATATATGATGAGTTAGTCACATCAGGTCTTCAAAAAACTAAGATGTTCAGCTCGAGCCTTCAGCTGGTAAAGTGACAACGGCTACATCCATCTTTTCCATGACTTACTATCCCTGATTAATGAAGTAATCACTTAACTGTAAAATCTCTCAACTGAAAATGCTACTGTTGCAAATAGTAGCATTTTCCCCAGCAAAGGTACCTACCGTGCTAATATATTATGGCCAAGGTAAGGACCTGTAGCTGGGTTAGATTCATCAGAGCTCCACCCTGTAGAGACTCACTGTTCAGGAGGTTGTGGTCCAGCAGTAATGTGCGGAGGAAGGGCAGATTTCTGAAGGACTCTTTACCAAGTTCTGAGATGTTGTTATGACTCAAACCTGGATGATCAGCAGGGAGAAATACATTTGAACACTATAAAACCGGGAGTCTAAATGTTTTAATGCATCTAAAAAGTGAAAGATGTCCTGTTGCCTGGCTATGCTATTGTTTCTAAAAAAAGAAAAGGACAATTTCCCTTCTTTTGTTCTTTTTCTGTCTGTCATCTGCCATTGCTTTGCAGTATTTTATGGTGCAGAGGACTTTCTTCTGAAGTTTAGTGGGTCAAAGTTTTAAAAGTAACTCTATTTCATCTAGCAAAAGGGTTTGGCACACTGACCTCTATGGATCAAAAGTTAAAGGCTGTACTAAGAGGGAACATGTAACACAAGCAAGACTAATTGCCTTGCTTGTGTGTAGTTAGTCTCGAGTCTTTATTTTTTGTAAATTTGAGAGGCAAAATTTATCATAGAATGAATATGAAAAGCTGCATTAGAAGCTTTTGCTTGCTACCTTCAAATACCCCTCTTGACCATTGTGGCTGCTTTTTGATTCACTATTTAACCCTGGAGAACCCATGGGGTCAAATTTGACCCCATGGGTTCCCTAGTAAACCAGTGGTGTCGGATCTGACCCCATGGGTTCTCCAGGGTTAAACTAACTTTGCTTTACTTTGAAGGACCCGTCCCATCCTTCAATAACTGTTCAAACTTCTGCAATCAGGCAGAAGGTTCCATACCATACGGGCAAGAACAGAGAGACTCAAGAGGAGCTTCTATCCCAAGCCACCCAGGTCCTAAATCAGAACATATCAGAACATGCCCCCCGTGAACAGAATCAACTTGTCTTACCACTATTGTTGCTGTTTTGCAATTCTCAGAACTCACCAGTTTACTCACCAATGACTGTAATGTTGCTCAGCTCAGACAGTGAGGCAGGCGGAACTGTAGAAATTGAGCCTTCTGTTAGCAGCAGAGCCTGTGTGGTATTCGGAGCAACTGGTCAAGGCATACAAAAACACACAACATCATCAGCATATTAGTGCCTTTCGGTTACATACATAAGAAGTAAATGTACCACATTAAAGTGGTACATTTTGCATTATGCTACATCATAAGCTTATAAAAAAGTGTAATATATGACAGTTTTTAGTAATGTCAAATTCTGTTGGTTTTCTTTAGTTTATATTTTGCAATACTGGCTTTTGTGTTTCTTTGAGCTTTAAGGATTGATTTTATTATTATTACATTTGTCATTTTATAATGCATTGTGCAATAAAATATGTATTAGTCAATCCATTTGCAAATTAGTATTATGAATTACGAATTGCGGAAGGTAACACGAAAGTACCACGTAACATTAGCATCACTCCAGGTAGCCCTACCCTTGTAGGCTTGTGTTAGTTTGTGATATGGGGGTACTAGCTAGCTACTGTTAAGAAATAAATAAATATATATATATATATATTCTTAATGCTTATTTGCTGATTATATGGTTTTATGTATTTTAGTAATGAAGGCTTGTAAACCAAGGGCACTTTTGACTCACAAACTAAGTGCTCAGCCAGACTGAAAAACAGGAAGTCCGTGTGCAGCTGTACACGCATATTAATAAATAGAGGAAGTTAGACAGAAAAGAGGAAGCTACTGACATATAAGGAGTTGTTTGTATTGAAACTGTGTGACGTGTGAAGTACCAAAATAACACTATATGAGACACAGGCTGAGCTTCTAATGTTAGAGATTCTGCAGCTGGCTATGGGCTGTGCAGGGCTCTCTCTTCCGGAAGATGATTGAATAAAGAATTATAAATGTTTTGACCACTCTGAGTCGGGTTTTCTCTGTTCTATCAAAGGGATCAAAGAATCGGGTTTAATTCTACCGTTTTTAGTAAGCTAATGTCTGCTTTCACAAATAAACTTGGAAACTAATCAAACTTCCTTGTGTTTTTGTCCATTAAATTACCATATAATGGATATTTTTAAAAAAAAACAAACATAATCAAAAAGTAATCAAATTATTTTATTAATTTACAATTGATTATTAAAGCATGAAATGCTTTATTTCAGTGTAACGTAACTCTCCCAGTCCTCCATATCCCAGTACCCTCTTATTCGATTGTTAATCCTTCATGTCTGTGTTCAGTGTTTACCTGTTTAGTTACTTTCTCCTTTATTTTGTTAGTTCCTTTTCTCTCGTGTTTTGCTGTCTTCAGCTCTGAATACTGACAAATAACGTTTTTCATATGACTACCGTACAGTAGGACTATGCACTTATTTAGGCTCAGCTTTCAGTTATAGAGGGCATATTTTTTTTACCTATAATTTTAGTCAGTCTTTGGCAGATGACAGCATCCTCAGAACAAACCATACAGGAAGCAGGACACAACGGGACTTGGGACATGCGCTGGGCGCTGATGACTAGCAGCAACAACATCAGCAAAATATCTGAAAAGAAATTTGCATAATCTTAACTGCCTGCAGTGGGCCTCTGCGATGCAAGAAAACCATGTGTACTACTCACTGTACATGTTGTGTTACAGTGCAGTGATGATGAGGCCTCTCTTCCACAGGGTCGTAACCTGATACAGCTTTATCCGTATCGCCATTATCATCCGTTTGTCCTACAAAAAGACGTAATTGTATCACTGTAAAAACACCATAATCACCCATCTTGTGTAGTCAGACCTGCATGGCTGAGTGTGGACCTTAGCCTGCAGCTTCCTGAAAAGAACAACACACAAGTACTGCAGACGAATGAGTGACATCATGAATAAAACACATACAGACGTCTTCATAGGTGTTTTCACAGACTGAAAATAATCACCAAGTACACGTTTGCTCTCTGTTGCTAAGCAAACAAATAAAGCTAAATGGTAATGCATCACCATGTGTACTTGTGTGTTAGGCAGCACTGGGGAGATAGAGTTTGTCCCCAGAGGAGGCTGACTGATGGATAACAGCTCGACATTGTAGCCAAATGAGGCCTATCATGTTTCTGCTGAAGCTCTTTTACTAATGGACTTTTCTCTGGTGATAAACAAATGTAAGCTACTCCACAATAACCATAAAGCAGAATGGCTCATCAGATTGACCAGCAAGACAACACATTCATTACAGAGTGCAATTATATTTCAACCCGGCAGACTTTTATCTCCTATACAAGAAACGCATTTTGCAGTTTATTCCTAGCGCAGACAGCACTGCTGGTTGAAACAATAACGTCTAAGCACCACTTAAACCTGATTTAAGAGCTATTTAAGCATTATGTTTTATTAACACTGAACTCAATGTGGAGCTTCCATCTTCACTAAGCTCTTTTTTCACTGTTGTAAATGTACAGCTGCACTCTGATCTCGTGCATTTTTACATAGTGATTTTGAATTTCTTGGTAGTTGTTTTGTGTCTGTTTTTCATCACATCAAGTCTCTTTGTTGTCATTTCATGCATCTTTGTGTGTCACGTTAATCTCTTTTGTCTCTGTCATGTTGCCCCATTTTTGTGAGTCTCGACACTGTTGTTCTTTTGCATAGCTTTCTTTTGTAGGGAACTGTTTTAACTGACATTATAGTTCGTCTTAATACTACTGAAGAGACAGTAGACACCTGGGAGACAGGTGTAACAGTGAAGCTCCTAGGAATAGAGGAGTGAGGGTAGACAACTTTAAATATCTGGGGTCAACTATCCACAGCAACAGACAGTACACAAGAGGTGAAGAAGAGAGTGTAGGCAGAGTGGAGTAGGTGGAGATGGTGTCAGGGGGATTTGTGTCAAAAGGATAGCAGCAAGAAAGGGAAGGTTTACAAGACAGTAGTGAGACCTACTATGATGCAGGGTTTGGAGGCAGTAGCTCTAAGAAAAAGACAAGAGGCTGACGTGCAAGTGACAGAGTGACCAGGATGGACATCATCAGAGGGACAGCTCAGGGTGAGCAGTTTGGGGACAGAGTTAGAAACTCGAGTTGGAAGTGGATATATTAGACAAAGGATGTTGAAGATGGAAATGCCAGGCAGGAGGAAACGAGGAAGACCTCTGAAAAAGTTTATGGATGTAGTGAAGGGGAACAGAAATTGTTGATAGAGGATAGGGTTAGATGGAGGCAGATGATCGGCTGTGACAAGGGAGCAGCCAAAAAAAAAGTTGTTTTGTGGTGCATCTCTTTTTTGTGTACTGTATTTCTTTAAAGCTGTTTTGTGTCTCTTTGTTGTCTCTTGACAAGACACATGTGGATGAGACAGAAAACAAAGAACTCAGACCGAACACCATAACAGTAAAGCAATCTAGACTTGTAGCCAAAATTTCATAGAAACTAAACAGCCAACAGACTTCACACAATACAACAAGAACTGACACTCAGAATTAACAGTATGATAGAAAGTCAATCATCAGATAGTAATCTAAATCTTCAGGCACAGAATAACAGTAATAATAAGTAAACGCAAGAACCTAGGACCAGGACAAATATACATTTGTAGTGGAACAGAATAGAACTGCCCTTTATTGTCCTTGTACATAAAAAATGAAATTGTGGATGCTCCACATCTACTGTGCAGGAACAAAATATAAATAATAAGACATCAGAACACACAGTAGGAGAGCTTGCTCTACACTGAGGAACAGTAGCAGCAGCAGCTTCTGGTCCATGTTATTCTTCCTCAGGAGGAAGTGTAGCTGCTGCTGCACTTGATCAGCGGAGATGTGATCGCCCTGAAACCTGAAGGTGGAGACAGATTCCACTCATTCTCCATTTATAATGAGAGGGCAGTGAGCCTGTCTGTGCCTCCTGAAGTCGATGTGTTATTTTGTTTTAAGGATGTTCAGCTTCTAGTATATCTGCTTTAGAGATTTTCTGCCTGCTGTTAGTGAAACATCACTGAGCAACGTCACAGCGTAGTGGTTCATACATTCACAAAACAGTCTGAAGGTCCCTCAGTTCAATCCCGAGGAGGCACACAGATCTCTTTGGGTTTGTGTGAGGAACAAAAATCAGCCAAGTCAAAACAGCTACCTGCTGTGGTGGCTCCTTATGATTAAAGGGAGCAGCCAAACATAGCTTCAGTGGTAATACTGAATGGATTCGTTCTTATGTGGCACTTTTCTAGTCTATGTCTCATTCACCCATTCATACAAGCACTGTTTACCATCTTTCTATCCAACAGTCACACTTCAACAAACACAATTTGGGGTTTAGTATCTTATCCAGGATATTTGACCATGCAGACTGAAACAATCAGGGATCAAACCACTGACCTTTGGATTAGTTAGTACATTATTAGGAAGTCACAATTAGTACCTAACTTGCTCTACCTCCTGAGGTAAAGCCAACCTCATGCTGGTTTAAGTTGAAAATGGCATTACCAGCTGGTAATATAGCCTAGATTTCCTGATGAACTGCACTGGTTAATGAAGTGCTGGGAAGAAACTACGAACTTGCCTGGAAACTACATTAGTGAGACTTTCACTGAAGCACGCCAGGCCTTATGATAGTGTGATGGTCAGGGTACACACATGTTAACCATGGGATATTAGGTTTCAGTCCAGTTCAAACTTTTCCCATCTTATTAGTTGACTGACTCCTTGGATAAGTTTGACCCACCATCGTCACGGCAACTCACTAGACAGTTACAACATTTGGAAAATATGCTTTTAACAGAGCTTATTAGTGACCCAATTACAATTTGGTATTTACCAAATACCAAATTGTATACCTTTATTCCAGTGTCATCTACTACAGCTTGGTTTCTTAATCTGAACATCTAAATATTAATTTTAAAAAAGATCATTGTCAGATCGTCATCATAGAAATCCATTAAAAACATTAGCAGGTTCCTTACCTGTTCCTAACCAAGTGTTTTAACCCTGCTCCTGATATGGTGCACTCCACTCACATGATCCATCAGAATGACCTGTAGTGCTTGTCTGCTGTAGAGCCATCATTTACTGGTTGCTGTAGTGCTGCAACACGTACCGTGTATATGAGTGGGTCTAGCTCAGGTTACCTGGCCGTCTCTGAAGCATGCTCAGTAGAGCTGGCTGTTACCTGAGAGGAACAGATGTCATGTCTGACTTGGAAATAGAGCCTTAAACTTTGTCTTAGTTTTTTCGTTGTTTGTTTTGTTTATCTTAATTCTAAGTATAAGTATCACTGATGTCTAGAGTGACTGCAACTGAAAAGATGCATTGTTTTACATAATAATTACTATTTGCTTTCAAAGTGAGGATTTTCTATTGATGTTTAACCATTTTTTGTGTGTGGCCACTTATGGTCTTTATTTGTACTATATGCACCTTCTTCCTGTCATTCTGCATTTCTGTTGGTTGCCCAAATGAATGTCACAAATTTGACCATGGCAAGCATAAGTGCTCCATGATCAGCACACTTTCACAACGCAGGACTCAGCACATTGTAACTGCTACATCTGAATCAAAGCCAGTCTTGAGATTCTGGTTCTCTCTGCTATGTATATGCTACATTATACTGCATTTAAAGATGCTCTAATTTCCATTTAGGAACTAAAGACCAACTTAAAGCTGGAGGACATTCACTGATGTCAGGAAGTGATGCCAGTAAAAATACAGATTTTTTTTTCTTTAAATGTCGCTAAGCAGCAAACAAAGTAGTTACCAGGAGGTAAAAATGGTGCATTTTTCAAAATGAGCAATCGGCTAATTAAATTGAGAAAACATGCTATTTTAAGAAAGAAAATAAGGTGATTTTGAATTTGATGGCAATGACATGTTTTAAAACAGTTTGGACAGGAAGAGTATGTAAACATCTGGGAGCTGAAGACACCAGCTGCTGGGAGAGGACTGTTGTCCCATTCTTGTTTGATATTGGATTCAAGTGCTGAGTCTGCCATATAATATTTGCCATATTTTACATTCATGAGAAATAGAATGTTTTGAACTGGTGAAAGATCCAAACTGTAGGCAGACTAGTTCAGCACCAGATCCTCCTACTACAAAGCCGTGCTATTGGAATAGATGCAGCTGATCTCGTTTATTTACATTGTTACGTTTCGGTGTTGTCAGTGTTTGTTTTTGCGTGACTGTCATGTATTTCCTGCTTTACTTTGAAAGTCTGTGTTATCTTAGTGTGTTCAGTTTACGTTTCCTTGTCTCGTCAGGTCTAATTTGCCCCAGCTGTGTTTCCCTCCTGTGGTCCTTTCCCTTATTGCTCCTTCTATGTATTTAAGCCTTGTGTTTCAGTATGTGATGGTCGCGATCTCCCCCCGTGTTGTAAATAAATAGTTTGTTGTAAATAGTTGTGAATGGGTTTGTCAATACTTTCGTTATGGGATATTTTCGTTTCGGGATTTTGGTGGAGAGCCTTCGTGGTTTTATTTTCCTTATTTCTGTTTTTTCTACGTTGCACCCCGGTTGCCTAGGCCGGGGTGTAACAACATTTAAAAGATGTCATCTGCATGCATATGTTGGTGTTGGTCATAATTACAGGATGTCTGTGGAAGGCACACAGAGCCTTAGCAGTCTGCAAAGACTCTGTGTGCCTTCCACAGCACTCTGGCATGCACACACATCTTAAGGTCATGAGAGAGGTCATACCTTCTCTTACTGATTTATACTATAGGAAACCTACTCTATATCTGTTTTAGTATAAGTCCCTTTTGTGTAGATGAACTGCTGGACTTCCAGGCAAACACACCTACACTATGCACAGACTGGTACTCTTTGTTTACATGTATGTAAACAAATGTAAGATGTAAGATGTCATATGGTAATGAACCTACGCATATTCATGTAACCTCAATAAAGAGCAGTGTTACGAGGGAGCAGACGAGAGCAACTGGGGTCAAGTGAAGGAACGGCGCTCGTCCAGTTCTCTCCCTCATGCACGAGTAACACAAAGAACTTTGGCAACTTGTGTCTTGCTTTGCTGTGTAGTAGAATTGTCTTGAACGTTCCAGCAAATAGGTTTATGCTAGACAAACCCATCAACATGCTTATACCTTCCAGCACTGATAGTGCCTTTCCAGATGAGCAAGCTGTCGGTTCTGTAGGCATTAGAGATTCAGGCTTTTGAACTGAGGGCTTAAAAAAGAAGTGTTTTCCACTTTGTCACAGGCTATCTTAAATCCAGAGAAGGCAGTGGCTTTTTTGGTGGATGGCTTCTTTTTGCACAACAGAGCTTTAATCTGCATTTGTGGAAGGCACGGTGAACTGTGTTCACAGACAATGATTTCAGGAAGTGTTCCTGAGGGTAGGACAGAATCATGCATGCTTTTCATGTAATTTTACCAAGGGGCCCAAACATTACAGATATACAATACTTATTTTTGGCCTTATCCCTTGCACACAGAGATTTCTCCAGATTTTCTGTCTATCTTATGATGATGTTATGAACCGTAGATGACAAAACCTGCAATCTGGTAGAAGGTTCCGCATCTTCCGGGCAAGGACAGAGAGACTCAAGAGGAGCTTCTATCCCCAAGCCATCCGGGCCCTAAACACACACACCCGCCCTCTCACATCATCTATAATTGACTGAGACAGGACTCTTCCAGACACTAAACCAAGGCACAATGTACATTTCAATTCCTTTAATTTTAAATATGTTGATATTGTCTATCATGTAAAATAGTCAGATATCTATTCATATTAATGTACAGAATTCACCTGCTTGCTGCTACTACTGCACATTCACCCAGTGTATATACTATATGTGTGTGTATATATATATATATATATATATATATATATATTTATTTATTTATATATAATGTTCTTCCTCTACACCCCCCCCCCCAATTTTTGCACATGTCGAGGAGCGTGTCAGGCTACATTTCACTGTGTGTTATACTTGTATAACTATGCATGTGACAAATAATAAAGAACCTTGAACCCATATTTTGACACAGTGTGTAGTGTGTTCTTAAAACAATGTGAGGAAACTGAACAAGTGAAGGACAAAAGAAAAGTGGGAGGCTTAAAAAAAAAAAACTATCTACAGCAGATGAGTAGTCATGTCCTTAAGTAAAAGGGTGAAAGACACCAGAATAGACGTGACACAGGACATGATATATGCATGGAGTCCTTCAGTTTATTCATCTACTGTTTAATGAAGCCTCATCACAAATGCTCTCAGGCGAAGGCTGGCTGTCAAGATGCCCTTCATAAGGAAGGGTAACAAGAAGAAAAGAGTGAGATATGCCAAATTACACAAGAACTAAACCTAAAATCAGTGACAACAGACCTTATGAAGAGATCTGCAAAAACACTCTGATCATTCTGGAAAAAAAAAACTATTAAATTCAGCTTTAGAAATACAAAAGTATATTAACACGAACTAAAGAAATAACTTCACTACAGTAAGGTTTCATCCAATTGGTAAATTGCACCATGATGGTACAGTAAAAACAAATCCAGCCTAAGGATTTTCTGCATTATTTTCTGTGATCTAGCAAACTGATTTTTGCCATAGAAGCAACAAACAACAACATTAACTGTTCCTGAAAATTTTTATTAAAGTATCACCCATTTAAAAACAGTCTGAACTGTAAAAACTGTAAAGGTGACCTGTGACTCATTACATGGTCGTCACATAGTCAGGACCATCTTCCCAGCAGCCCCGGGAGACTCAATGATATCATGGTGGGCCTGGGCAGCTTTTTCAAGCGGATACTGGGAACCGACGACCGGACGCAACCAACCAGCTTCCATCCCTGCATACAGTAGAGCTCCACACTCCTTCAACTCCTCCTGAGAGGAGCAGGGGGAGAAGAAAGATGTCCAAATCACCAAGTGGGGCACGGAATAAGAATTCTGTACATATTTATCATGTATCATGTATGGAGTCATAGCCAAAGGTTTTGGCAGTAGCATTACCAATGTGCATGATTTTGCTTACTTGGAAAACTAAATAAAATAAAAAATAATAACAATAATAGCACGGAACACTAACCTTAACAAACTAAACATTTTCAAATAATAACAATCAAACCTACTCTGGAAAATAGGCTTAACTGAATTAAAAACAAAATTTTAAAATGAAATTTAAAAAAAATTAGATTACTGACAAATTTTGTGATGCTGTTATTTTGTACCGGTGTTGCAAAGAAAAGGGCCACTCCCACTATGCTGCTCTCTTTAATCATGGTGTCTCTGGGATTGATCTCTATAGATCCTCTGGAGCCAACAACCTAAAGAAAAAGAGCAAAGTAGAGGTATGATTAATGAGTGTTTGTAAACTACTGTATATAACTGTATATCAGAACATTTCTGGTAGATACAGGGAGTGCAGAATTATTAGGCAAATGAGTATTTTGTCCACATCATCCTCTTCATGCATGTTGTCTTACTCCAAGCTGTATAGGCTTGAAAGCCTACTACCAATTAAGCATATTAGGTGATGTGCATCTCTGTAATGAGAAGGGGTGTGGTCTAATGACATCAACACCCTATATCAGGTGTGCATAATTATTAGGCAACGTCCTTTCCTTTGGCAAAATGGGTCAAAAGAAGGACTTGACAGGCTCAGAAAAGTCAAAAATAGTGAGATATCTTGCAGAGGGATGCAGCAGTCTCAAAATTGCAAAGCTTCTGAAGCGTGATCATCGAACAATCAAGCGTTTCATTCAAAATAGTCAACAGGGTCGCAAGAAGCGTGTGGAAAAACCAAGGCGCAAAATAACTGCCCATGAACTGAGAAAAGTCAAGCGTGCAGCCCCCAAGATGCCACTTGCCACCAGTTTGGCCATATTTCAGAGCTGCAACATCACTGGAGTGCCCAAAAGCACAAGGTGTGCAATACTCAGAGACATGGCCAAGGTAAGAAATGTTAACTTGTTATTTTCTGTTTTATCGCGAGAGTACTGTTGCCCGCGAAGTGTTGTTGTTGTGGTCCGTATGAAAAATGGCGGAACGAATAAAGCGCTGTGAATGAGAGTACGACGTCGTGTCTTTTGAGTTAACATTGGTAGCAGAGGATGGTTTCCAATTACAAAGTACCACCAAAGTTTGATGAAGCCAGGCCATACGAATGCTGGAAGAATGAAGTCAATATCTGGAGACGAGTTACGGAGCTGGATAAAAAGAAACAGGCACTCGCGGTGGCGCTGGGGCTCGAGGGAAGAGCCAGAGAAACGGCCATGGAGATACCCGCGGAAGATTTGGACAAAGATGACGGTATGGAAATACTACTTGCAAAACTTGACGCGGTGTTTCAGAGAGAAGAGAAAGACCGCGCTTATGAAGCCTACTCGTGTTTTGACTCCATTGCAAAGAACCACAGCGTGTCCATGGCAGACTACATTAAAGACTTTGAACAGCGTTATAACCGGATGAAAAAGTACAACATGACGCTGCCTGACGCTGTGCTAGCATTTAAGCTTCTAGATACAGCTTGTCTTGATGAGAAAAGTCGACAGCTTGCACTGACAGCGTGCACGGACTTAATGTTTGCGTCTATGAAGTCTGCACTGAAACGGATTTTCGGAGGGAAAGTAACCGGAGTTTTCAGCGGAATTCAACTGAACCAAGATGCAGTTTTCCTTACGGAACAAAAAGGTCCCAAATACAAACGAAACAACGGTACTTCGTCGTGGAGTGGACAGCGACAACCACTACAAGGTACCAACCCAGTTGACAAGTTTGGCAAGCGAACAAGATGTGCTATTTGTCAGAGCACTTACCACTGGGCGAAAGACTGTCCTCATCGTAATGGTGACCAAGTAAAGCTAACTGAAGATGGGAAAGTGGAGGAGTGTAACATTACTTTGTACACTAAAGCCTCAATGACAGACTCTGAAATCTTCCTGACTGAGGCACTGGGGTCAGCCATTATTGATACTGCATGTACACGTACAGTTTGTGGTCAGAAGTGGCTAGATAGTTACATAGTACAGTAAAGACAAAGAAAGCTGCAGAGATCGTCAACTCCTTCATTCACACCTGGATAAGCATTCACGGTGCCCCCAGACGGCTCTACACAGACAACGGCGGAGAGTTCAACAACACAGACAATCGGGACATGGCTGAAAACTTCAACATTGAGGTAAAAACAACGGCGGGGTATAGTCCCTGGAGCAACGGACTACTGGAGAGACATAACATGACACTTACAGAAATCCTCCTGAAGGTAAAAAAGGAACGAGGATGTGACTGGCACACTGCGCTAGACTGGGCCCTTATGGCCAAAAACAGTATGCTTAATGTACATGGTTATAGTCCACATCAACTTGTGTTTGGCCAAAACCCCAACCTTCCTTCTGTGTTGATGGATAAGCCACCTGCCTTAGAGGGCACAACTGTAAGTGCAAGAGTAGCTGAACATATCTCAGGATTACATGCTTCCAGGAAAGCATTTACTGAGGCAGAGTGTTCAGAAAGGATCAGGAGAGCACTACGCAAACAACTTAGGCCTACAGATGACAAATATGAGGCAGGAGATAAAGTATACTACAAATGAGTCGACTGTACAGAGTGGAAGGGTCGAGGTGTAGTTATTGGGCAGGATGGAACTGTTGTATTTGTAAGACATGGGGGGACTCTTGTAAGAGTACACCAGTCAAGATTGACTAAAGTGGATTCACAGACTGGACATAAACAAATTCCACACAGTACTACTGATGATGACAACAAAGACGCAGTTGAAAATGATGACACTGACTCTCTTCTGCCTCCGATCGCAACGTCTCCTCCTGCGGCTTGCTGGGCTACCCGCAACAGCAAGCCGCAGGAGGAGACGTTGCGATCGGAGGCAGAAGAGAGGCAAGCGGGGAGGCCTGTGGGCACGGCTAAAGACTAGTCCGTTTAAACCACCACTCCCAATCATATTCCTCTCCAACGCCCGTTCAATCCGTTACAAACTGGATGAAATACGACTGCAGATCGCCACTCGACGGACTTTTAATAACTGTTCGTGCATGATTTTCACTGAAACCTGGCTGGACAGCGCCATTCCCGATGCGGCTATCGATCTAGCAGGCCGCACCGCCTATCGAGCCGACAGGTCTGCGGACTCGGGTAAGAAGACTGGCGGGGGGCTGTGCATCTATATTAACAACCTTTGGTGCACGAACGTCACGGTAACGGAAAGACTGTGCAGTACAGAGGTAGAACTGTTGGTGTTAAAGTGCCGTCCATTCTATCTCCCTCGGGAATTTTCTGCCGTTTACATCTGCGCTGTTTACATTCCACCAGATGCTAATGCTAAGCTAGCGTTAGCACAATTGAGCAGCAGCATCAATAACAGCCTGGTAGCACACCCGGACAGTGTCTTTATTGCGGCTGGGGATTTTAACCACGCGGACCTGAAATCTGTACTTCACAATTTCCACCGTAATGTGAAGTGTGCTACCAGAGGAGATAGAACGTTGGACCAGGTGTACACCAACATGGCGAATGCGTACAGAGCCCAGGCTTATCCCCACCTGGGTCTGTCAGACCATCTCTCCCTTCTGCTACACCCAATATACACACAAAAGATCAAGAGCACTGGGATTACAACCAAAACCGTGAGAACATGGCCGCAGGATGCTATTCCGATGCTTCAGGACTGTTTCCACTGCACAGACTGGGATGTATTCAAGGTGCAGGACACTGACAATCGTGTCGCATTGGACAGTTACACCTCCACTGTCTTGGACTACATCTGTTTCTGTGTGGACAATGTAACAACTTGGAAACGATTCCGTGTGTTCCCTAATAATCCACCCTGGATGACACACGGAGTTCAACAACTTATTCGAACAAGGAACAACGCTTTCAAATCCGGGGACCAGGAGGCATACAGTGCTGCCAGGGCCAACCTGAGAAGAGGCATCAAGACTGCCAAGCAGCAGCACAGGAGGCGTATCGAGGCCAGGTTTGAGAACAACACAAACCCAAGGCAGGTCTGGGAGGGCATCAGGGCTATCACGGACTACAAAAGAAGAACACCATCACCCTCAGCCGACAGTTCTACTCTGGCTGAGGATCTAAATCTCTTTTATGCCCGTTTTGATAGGGAGAACACCGACCCTGTCCTGTCCCCTCTCCCCTCAACCGACCCTGCTCCGGTCCTGAGCACTCATGAGCTGAGGCGTGTGTTCCGGAGCATTAACACCAGGAAGGCGGCCGGGCCAGATGGAGTGCTGGGCCGGGTGCTAAAAGACTGTGCTGCGGACCTGGCGGACGTCTTCACCTCTATATATAACACCTCGCTGTCCTGTTCACTGGTACCATCCTGTTTCAAAGCAGCAACCATCGTTCCCATCCCAAAACAGTCAAATGTCACATGTCTGAACGATTTCAGACCTGTGGCACTCACCCCCATTCCCGCCAAATGCCTGGAGAGACTGGTCATTAAACACATCAGAGCTGCTTTTCCACCATCCCTGGACTCGCACCAGTTTGCATACAGGGAGAACCGGTCAACTGAGGATGCGATCGCCACAGTGCTGCACACATTACTGAAGCACTTGGAACACAGGAACACCTATGCACGGCTCCTCTTTGTAGACTACAGCTCGGCATTTAATACCATCCGGCCATACAAACTCTGTCCCAAACTCCACCAACTGGGACTTAACTCCTCTCTGTGCAACTGGATTGTGGACTTCCTCACTAACCGTAGACAGAGTGTCAGAGTGGGTAAGAACACCTCTTCCACCCTTGTGGTCAACACCGGTGCCCCTCAGGGGTGTGTTCTGAGCCCTCTGCTATACACTCTCTTCACCCATGACTGTATTTCCTCCTGCGCGTCCAATCTCATTGTTAAGTTTGCAGATGACACCACAGTGCTCGGACTTATATCCAACAATGATGAGACAAACTATAGGACAGAGGTGCAACAACTAGAGTCATGGTGCCACGACAATAACTTGGTCTTAAACACCAAAAAGACCAAGGAGATCATTGTAGATTTCCGGAAGAGGGGTCATAACAACCATCTGCCTCTCTTCATTGGCAGTGAGGCGGTGGAGAGGGTGAGCAGTTTTAAATTCTTGGGGGTAACTGTGACCGAGGACCTGTCCTGGGGCAACCATATCACCTCAGTTGCACGGAAGGCCCAACAGCGCCTCTACTACCTGAGGAGACTGCGGAGCGCACACATTCCCAGATCTCTGATGTTGAACTTCTACAACTGTGCCATCAGCAGCGTTCTGACGTATGGATTTCTAGTGTGGTTCCCCAGCTGCACCAAGGCCGATCAGCAAGCACTCCAGCGGGTGGTGAAAGAAGCTGGCAGAATTATTGGAACAAGTCTGCCAGAGATCAGTAATATCTTCCCCACTCGCTGTCTGAGGAGGGTGCACAGTATCCTGCGGGACCAACATCACCCTGCGCGCCACCTTTTCCATCTGCTGCCCTCAGGGAGAAGGTACAGGTCTATACAGGCCAGAACATCCAGACTGGCCAACAGCCTGTATCCACAGGCTGTGAGGCTCCTGAACTCTCTGCCCCCCTCTCACGGACAATAACCATATCCAACTTCTTAATAGCAATGAACTGGTCTGCATTGGTGCATCATATCTTTATTCTCTTCCCCCTCCTGCCCCCCCCCCCCCCTCTTTCTTAAATAGATAACTATCATATCTGATATCATATCTCACAGTACAATAATATTGAATGGGTTGCATTGTTGTATTTTGTCATGTTTCTCAGGTCTTTGTCTGAATTTCTACGAACATTATTGCTAAGGATTGTCTTATTGCATTGGAGTCACACTGGGTTAAATATGTACACTTGGGTTTTAAGGGGTATTTATTATTTTCTTCTTTTTTTTGGGTTGTATGGAAGCCCCAAACGCAATTTCATTGTTCTTGACAATGACAATAAATAAATAAATACTAAATACTATTGACAGAGAAACCAACACTACAGAAAACATGTCTGTCACACAAACTGCAAATGAGCCCTCTACACCCACTGATCACGTCTCTGCAAATGTAAAGTTAAGATCAGGACAGCTGATTGCTTTTACCAACAGAGACAATGGTGTTCAACACACAGCCAGAGTGCTAGGCAGAGCGGGAAAAGCAAAAGGGCAATACAAAAACTGGTACAATGTGCAATATCTTGAGCATGATGGTAGTGAAGGTGAAAAGAAAGCTGTAGACATGTCACTTGTTGATGGTCTTTGCACTGAAGCTGAAAACAGAGATGCAGATGTACTCATAACAAAAGATATTTCCTTTGATTCTGCTAAGCAGCAGGAGATTGAGAGCTGGCAAAGTAATGGTGTGTTTGATGAAGTGAAAGACCTGGGTCAAAAATGTGTGTCTACTAGATGGGTCTGTACACTCAAAGAAACTACTAATGGTGTTGTCCCAAAGGCTCGACTTGTGGCACGGGGGTTTGAAGAGGCAAATACTAAAGAACTACAGAAAGACTCTCCAACATGTGCGTCTGAGTCCCTCAGACTGGTGCTAGCTGTGATATGTCAAAACAAGTGGAGAGTAAATTCAATGGACATTAAATCTGCCTTCTTGCAGGGAATGGAACTGTCAAGAGACATCTATCTTCGTCCCCCACCTGAAGCTGGCAAGGACAATGTTCTATGGAAACTGAAAAAGTGTGTTTATGGACTTGCAGATGCTTCACTTTATTGGTACAATAAGGTCAAAGACATTATGCTCAAAACTGGTGGTAAAATATCACAGGTTGATCCTGCAGTGTTCTATTGGCAGAATGAACAATCTGAGGTTACAGGAGTGCTTGCATGTCACGTTGATGATTTCCTTTGGGCTGGTTCAAGTCACTTTGCAACTCATATCATTCCTGTACTGAAATCTACCTTCCTTGTGGGCCGTGAAGAACATGACAGCTTTTCTTATGTTGGTATGGACATTTGTACAGTTAATGATGTAATAGAGGTGCATCAACAACTTTACATTGACAACCTACAACCGGTTCAGTTACAAGCAGCACGGGCTGTACAGAGGGAGGCTTCCTTAAGTGAAACAGAACGTGAGCAACTCAGGTCAAAAATAGGACAGATTTTGCTTTGTCTGTTATTTGCTTCTCACCTCTTGCTTTGTAGTTGATTGTTGCTAGAGGACATTTTAGCCTGGGGAACCCTCTGATGTATTTATCACACCCTGATATGTCAACAACAGCTGACTACTCCCTGTGTGGAGTGAAGTGAGTGTTTCCTTATAGCTGTCCTGTTTTTAATATTGTACTATAATTATTATTAGTCCACCACAGCTGGATTGTTAACAACACATTTCTGAGGAGTAGTAAACTGATAAACCAGTAAAAGATCCCACGACTATACTATAAAAAAAAAAGAAAAACTGTAGTCCTACCATCACTCGCCCTCCATAGGCCAGCATCTGGAGGTCCTTACTGAGGTTGACATTTGACAGCATCTCCACTATCACATCTACACCTCGGCCCTTTGTGGCTTCCTGGAATACATAAACACACAGAGCATTTTTCAGAAGGTCAGAACGAGTTTTTCCTGCCACTTGACTTCTATGTGAGTGAATACCGTGATTTTGTCTGTGTATTCTTCTTGTCTGTGATTAAAGGCCAGGTGAGCTCCATTGTTAAGGACCAACTTCATCCCCTCTGGTGTCCCTGCTGTCCCAAAAACCTGAAGACCCAGAGCACGGGACAACTGACAGGCTGCAATGCCCACCTATAGGATGAAGAAAGTATTTGATTGTAGCTAAATTTCATTTTAGCACACATTTCTAGTCACTTTTATTTAAAGCTGATGAGCCATGGTAGTACAAGTAATGCAAGAATATACACTGGCTTGCAAAAGTATTCGGCCCCTTGAACTTTTCCACATTTTGTCACATTACAGCCACAAACACGAATCAATTTTATTGGAATTCCACGTGAAAGACCAACACAAAGTGGTGTACACGTGAGAAGTGGAACGAAAATCATACATGATTCCAAACATTTTTTACAAATAAATAACTGCAAAGTGGGGTGTGGGTAATTATTCAGCCCCCTGAGTCAATACTTTGTAGAACCACCTTTTGCTGCGATTCCAGCTGCCAGTCTTTTAGGGTCTGTCTCTACCAGCTTTGCACATCTAGAGACTGAAATCTTTGCTCATTCTTCTTTGCTAAACAGCTCCAGCTCAGTCAGATTAGATGGACAGCGTTTGTGAACAGCAGTTTTCAGATCTTGCCACAGATTCTGGATTGGATTTAGATCTGGACTTTGACTGGACCGTTCTAACACATGGATATGTTTTGTTTTAAACCGTTCCATTGTTGCCCTGGCTTTATGTTTAGGGTCGTTGTCCTGCTGGAAGGTGAACCTCCGCCCCAGTCTCAAGTCTTTTGCAGACTCCAAGAGGTTTTCTTCCAAGGTTGCCCTGTATTTGGCTCCATCCATCTTCCCATCAACTCTGACCAGCTTCCCTGTCCCTGCTGAAGAGAAGCAGCCCCAGAGCATGATGCTGCCACCACCATATTTGACAGTGGGGATGGTGTGTTCAGAGTGATGTGCAGTGTTAGTTTTCTGCCACACATAGCGTTTTGCATTTTGGCCAAAAAGTTCCATTTTGGTCTCATCTGACCAGAGCACCTTCGTTCACATGTTTGCTGTGTCCCCCACATGGCTTGTGGCAAACTGCAAACGGGACTTGTTATGGTTTTCTGTTAACAATGGCTTTCTTCTTGCCACTCTTCCATAAAGGCCAACTTTGTGCAGTGCACGACTAATAGTTGTCCTGTGGACAGATTCCCCCACCTGAGCTGTAGATCTCTGCAGCTCGTCCAGAGTCCCCATGGGCCTCTCAGTGCTCTCCTTGTTCGGCCTGTGAGTTTAGGTGGACAGCCTTGTCTTGGTAGGTTTACAGTTGTGCCATACTCCTTCCATTTCTGAATGATCGCTTGAACAGTGCTCCGTGGGATGTTCAAGGCTTGTGAAATCTTTTTGTAGCCTAAGCCTGCTTTAAATTTCTCAATAACTTTATCTCTGACCTGTCTGGTGTCTAAATCCAATCGAGAATCTGTGGCAAGATCTGAAACTGCTGTTCACAAACGCTGTCCATCTAATCTGACTGAGCTGGAGCTGTTTTGCAAAGAAGACTGAGCAAAGATTTCAGTCTGTAGATGTGCAAAGCTGGTAGAGACAGACCCTAAAAGACTGGCAGCTGGAATTGCAGCAAAAGGTGGTTCTACAAAGCATTGACTCAGGGGGCTGAATAATTACGCACACCCCACTTTTCAGTTATTTATTTGTAAAAAATGTTTGGAATCATGTATGATTTTCGTTCCACTTCTCACGTGTTGTGTTGGTCTTTCACGTGGAATTCCAATAAAATTGATTCATGTTTGTGGCTGTAATGTGACAAAATGTGGAAAAGTTCAAGGGGCCGAATACTTTTGCAAGCCACTGTATTTATGTAACAGTAAAAAAGTCAAAAAGCCCCACATTTACAGTATTTATTTACTCAATTTCTGTTTATATTATTTGATTAAAGACAATTTGTTCTAGAAAACTGCATCTCTTTAGTTCATAAACTAACACAATCTTGTATTAAAAACAAGTGTAAAAAACTGGGGAAAAAGTTACCCTGGTTAGTTGTTTTCATGTTAGTTATACAGCAGTGACATACACAATCAGGCCAGAAAAGGTCAAACAACATAATTTTACCATAAGAGTAAGTACATTAAATCAAGATACTATATATAAGGTACTGCATTTATGTATTTTACCTTATCCTTAGGTTTTAGATGTCAAGATTATTAGACAGGAGGTTTACTAATATGGTCTTAAATCTTTTACACATCAGATACTGCAGTGGTTTGAATCATATCTATATAATAGACTCCGATTTGTTTATATAAATGGAGAATCCTTTTCCCACAATAAAGTTAATTATGGAGTTCCACAAGGTTCTGTGATAGGACCAGTTCTGTTTAGATTATACAGTGGGATGCAAAAGTTTGAGCAACCTTGTTAATAGTCATTATTTTGCTATATAAATGTGAGTTAAATATATCATATAGGAGACACACACAATGATACTCGAGAAGTGAAACTAAGTTTATTGGATTTACAGAAAGTGTGCAATAATTGTTTAAACACAATCAGGCAGGCGCATAATTTGGGTCACTGTTGTCATTTTATTGATTCCAAAACCTTTAGAACAAATTATTGGAACTCAAATTGGCCTGGTAAGCTCAGTGACCCCTGACCTACATACACAAGTGAATCCAATAATGAGTAAGAGTATTTAAAGGGGTCACTTGTAAGTTTCCCTCCTCTTTTAATTTTCTCTGAAGAGTAGCAACATGGGGGTCTCAAAACAACTCTCAAATGACCCGAAGACAAAGATTGTTCACCATCATGGTTTAGGGGAAGGATACAGAAAGCTGTCTCAGAAATTTAAGCCATCTGTTTCCACAGGTAGGAACATATTGAGAAAATGATAGACCACAGGCTCAGTTCAAGTTAAGGCTCAAAGTGGCAGACCAAGAAAAATCTCGGATGGACAGAAGCGACGAATGGTGAGAACAGTCAGAGTCAACCCACAGACCAGCACCAAAGACCTACAACATCATCTTGCAGCAGATGGAGTCACTGTGCATCGTTCAACCATTCGGTACACTTTACACAAGGAGATGCTGTATGCGAGAGTGATGCAGAGGAAGCCTTTTCTCCGCCCACAGCACAAACAGAGACGCTTGAGGTTTGCTAAAGCACATTTGGACAAGCCAGCTTCATTCGGAATAAGGTGCTGTGGACTGATGAAACTAAAGTTGAGTTATTTGGGCATAACAAGAGGCGTTATGCATGGAGGAAAAAGAACACAGCATTCCAAGAAAAACACCTGCTACCTACAGTGAAATATGGTGGTGGTTTCATCATGCCGTGGGGCTGTGTGGCCAGTGCAGGGACTGGGAATCTTGTCAAAGTTGAGGGACACATGGATTCCACTCAGTATCAGCAGATTCTGGAGACCAATGTCCAGGAATCAGTGACAAAGCTGAAACTGTGCCGGGGCTGGATCTTTCAACAAGACAACGACCCGAAACACTGCTCAAAATCCACTAAGGCATTCATGCAGAGGAGCAAGTACAACGTTGTGGAATGGCCATCTCAGCCCAGACCTGAATATTATTGAAAATCTGTGGTGTGAGTTAAAGAGCTGTCCGTGCTCGGAAGCCATCAAACCTGAATGAACTAGAGATGTTTTGTAAAGAGGAATGGTCCAAAATACCTTCAACCACAATCCAGACTCTCATTGGAACCTACAGGAAGCATTTCGAGGCTGTAATTTCTGCAAGAGGGAGATCTACTAAATATTGATTTCATTTCTTTTTTTGTGGACCCCAAATTAATGCACCTGCCTGATTTTGTTTAAACAATTATTGCACACTTTCTGTAAATCCAATAAACTTCGTTTCACTTCTGAAATATCACTGAGTGTGTCTCCTATATGATATATTTAACTGAAATTTTTTTATTGTAACAACCAACGATTTATACAGGAGAATAATGACTATTAACAAGGTTGCCCAAACTTTTGCATCCTACTGTACATGCTTCCTTCAGGCAGTATGATTTGAAGGTATAGCACACATCTTACAAATATGCTCAATGACACCAGGGTCGAGTAAAATGCCAGAAATGTTCCACATCATGAAAATATTACCAACAGTTTTATTAAATATTTTATCTCAAGAAAAGAAAATCTATCCATAACTATTAGCCCTCTTCAGTGTGTCACTTATAAACAAAAGCCATTTTTTAAAACTCTTTCTTTTTACACCAAGAGATAAAAACAGAAGTCAAGCTCCCTTACATTAGGTGTGAATGATATTTGTAATCAAATTAAATTAAAGAAAAGGGAGCAATATGTGTGTGTAAATGGTAAAAATCTCAAAGTATAACTATCAAATATGGGGTCCCACAGGGATCAGTATCAGGACTACTTTTCTTCCTTCTACACATTTTGCTCATTCCTTTAGTATTTTGTGTGCAATATTGTAATATTTTTCATAATGCATAATGAAGTATTTAGACTCGAGGACAAACTTTGTAATACAGTGGAACCCCGACTTACGAATACCCTGTTAAACGAAAAATTCAAGTTACGAAGGCACTGAACGCCAATATTTCTGCCCGTGTTACGGCAAAATGCCCATTTTACGAAATCCGCTGGCTCTGATTGGCCGAGCCCAGAATGCCTTCCGAATCATGTGACAACCCCTTGGCTTTCGTAATTGCGCTTCGCTGTTCCACTTGAACGACGTATTGTTGTTCTAGTTAGCAATTAGTCTATAGTCTATCGTTCAGCATCGCCTCACTCAAAAGGCGCGATGGGTGCTTCGACTTACGAAAATCTTCGACTTACGAAAGACCCTCGGGAACAAATGAATTTCGTAAGTCGGGGTTCCACTGTATTCTCCATCATACTCTCCCTTAACCCACTCACACACATAACACTTCAACTTTTGAAGGGAAAGAAAGGCAAAACAAGTTTTAGCGTGACCTACAGATCAGGAAAGCACTGCAAGTGTTCAAAATCTTTTTCGGGCTTTAAAAACAGATTAATACAACAGCTGCTCCTAAAATATGTTTAGATGTATCGGATTGGTGTCACTATACTTTGGCATCCTTGCAGGATATTTTAGGGATCTAGGGCAGCCTAATGATGACTTGTTAGAAATTGGAGCTATATCTCCTAGACCTGAAGAAGAGTCTCACCCCTCCACTGGCTCCATGGATAAGAACGGTCTCTCCAGCCTTGGCGTGCGCTCTGCACAACACAAAAAACCCACAGAGAAGGTGAAAGTTAACAGTATGGTGCTGCATTACTAATTAACCACCCCCTCTATTAAAAACATTGATCTTTCCTTTGTAACATGATGTATGTTCAGAGTTGGGATATGCATATATCTGGACTTGTCAGTGTGGAAGGAAGAAGATCAAGGTTTTGACCACCAGAGGGCAGTATAAGTACCACGCAGCTGTGTAGACTTGGTCATATGCAGGAAGAGATACATGTATTTCTTGTTGTTATAATATATTTTAGCTGACATTACTTTTTCAGCACTTTCTATTGTTATATAAGCCCACTAAAAGATTTTTACTGGACCTTGTAATTTGAATTAGAAATATTAAATTGAATATTATATTGAATTTCATTGCTTTGCTCTTTAAGATCTGCAGATGGTGGTATCCTGCTACAGCTCACCCTGATTAGAACAGGTGTGTCTTACTTGTGGATCAGAGCTCTGTAGGCGGTGAAGTACGGGATCCCGATGGCTGCTCCCTGTGTGAAGTCTAAAGCATCAGGCAGCTTGTAAACAGAGTCGCCAGCTGCTACAGTGTACTCTGCATAGCCTCCAGTCTCTGTAGCTGTGGTGAACACACGATCCCCTGCTGGAAAACACACACACATGTTCACACACTGTGCACACCTCCTGTATCTCCTTATTTAAGAGTTCCTTCTCACATTGTCTCTGTGTATTTTCTACAGGATGAACTTGAACTTACACAAGTTTTAAGTGATGCTAAGCAGAAGATGGAGGACTGATCCCACATGATTATATAACTGCACTGACATGTAGCTGCTATCACATCCATACAGTCGTCTGTACTCTAACCTTCACTGCAGTCACTCCTTCTCCAACTGATTCCACCACTCCTGCTACATCAGAGCCAGGTGTGTAAGGCAGGGTGGGTTTCCTTGCATACGTCCCAGCTCGGATGTAAGTTTCCACAGGGTTCACTCCACAGGCATGGACACGGATCAACACCTATATGAGAGAGAGAGAGACTTCAGATGGACTATGCCATGTGGGCTGAGAGATTAGGAGATTTTAAACACTATTACTCAAATATTTCATTTAAATCACTTGAACTTGAATAATAATCACAGGTTAAAAACACTGGCTGTTTCGGGGTGGCTGTAGCTCAAGCGGTAGAGCAAGTCATCTACTGATCGGAAGGTTGATGGTTCAATTCCTGGTTTCCCTAGTCTGCATGCCAAATATCCTTGGGCAAGATACTAACCCCAAATTGCATCCATATGAGTATGTGTGAATGTTAGTTAGAAAGCATTCATACAAGCACAAAAAAATGTGCTTGGGTGAATGCACAAGTGTAGAGTGCTCAGAAAAGCGCCATATAAGAACCAATCCATTTTCCATTTAAACAACAAAAGTTTGTCCACCTCGGGCCATTAATTCTAATCTTAGCTACTTCAATCTTTAAAATTTCTAAATGTTTCAATTTGACCGTCATTTCAAGCTTAAGAAACAGCTGCTTGACTACAAAACTTCAACTACTGGATACATTTCTCAGATTTTACCCTTGATTTATTTGCTATTGACTATAACAAAATCAGATTCCTGACTTTAAAACATGTTCACAGCTTTTTTATTTCAAGTAAAAAAATGTAATTGCAATGACACTTGATGCATGTTCTGACGCAAGTGGGGGTTTACCCTTTTGCCACTTTGATAGTACTGTACAGACATTTAAATGGTAAATGGCCTGCATTTGTATAGCGCTTTTCTAGTCCATAGGACCCCAAAGCGCTTTACACTACATTCAGTCATCCACCCATTCACACACACATTCACACACTGGCGATAGCCAGCTACATTGTAGCCACAGCTGCCCTGGGGCGCACTGACAATTTAACACTCATTCAGTGCCAATTTATTCCTGTGTGATTCAGTACATTTCTTTGAGAACTGGATAACCAGTGCAGAAGTCTATCCAGGATCTGTCATCAGAACAAGTGTTACTTGTACTACTGTTTGCTAATAATTAAATTAGATTTGACTTCTACATTCACATGTAGAATTCAATATTAACATCATTCAGAAAAAGGCAAGTATATTTGTTTTGTCAACAGTCAATTTAAAAAATGACTTTATGGGCTTTATTAACTGAAAGGAAGCAGGAGATGAATTTGCACTTGTTCTGTAGCAGTGCTGTCAGGTCATTGTTGGTACACGTTCCTTTTCCACCCTTCCCTAATGGTCATACCTTTCTGTTCTATTATGCTTGCAGCTAGTGCTCTGCGACACTGCAGAATCTGGTATTAATCTGATGCCAAGTATCAGTGCCACTTTACAAATACTTATACTTTTTACTGAAAAAAGGATGTAGTGGAGAGCAGGGTATCATGAGTTTTGAGACAAAGTGTCTCAGTTTTAGTTTTTCATGTGTTTTGAAACTTTGTTTTTGAAGACCTGGAATGTAAATGTAATGGTGTCTAAAACACTTGGGTGAACCTGTTATTTAAATGTGCTGTAGGATATAAATTAGGGATGCACCGATACCGATACCGATACCAGTATCGGCCTCGATACCACATTTTCTAAAGTACTCGTACTCGTTAAAAGTCCCCCGATACTGAGGACCGATACCACGGTCTGAGACCTGTCTATGTTTGAGCGGCATGTAAGGGGTTAATCACAGGCGCCGAGTGCCCGCCCCCAGGCCCCGAGTGCCCGCCCCGGCTGCAGCTCAGAGCGGGGAGAAAGCGAGGCGAGACATATCAGCTGAGTGGAGCTATTTCAAAGTGAACGAAGATGCGAAAACAAAGGTGGACTGCAAATTGTGCTCAGCGAAATTGTCCAGAGGAGGCTCTAAAGGTAGCGCATTTAACACAAGCAATTTAATCAAGCACCTAAAATCCCAACACAACAACGAGTACAAAGAGTTTAACTAAAAAAGTGAGCAGCTACGACGCACTAGCCTCTGATGTCATCCCAGCTGTGACTGTGCTAGTGAAACTTCTAAACAGAGAAACAGACGAACAAATGTAAAATTAAATTTTGTTTTTTTATAATTATTTATTCTTTAATATGTTACATACAACATGCTTTTCATTTTAAATAAATGTTCTTAATTCCAAACTAGTCCCTTGTTTATTTTTTGTTAAATTATAGGACTAAAGCTGTTACCTGCAAATTTAAATCATGTTTTTATTAAGTACTCTGTATCGGTGAGTACTGAAATGCAAGTACTCGTACTCGGTATCGGTGCATCCCTAGTATAAATAAAATACACGTGACAGTCAACACAAAAAGGTTCAAACATTTTCATGTCTTTCAAGTTAGGAGGCATATTTTTCATTAATATTTAACACAATTCAGTGGGCTACATACGACAATGTATCAATCAGATACCAATACCAGCGTTGGTATCAATACTATGGATATCTGGCTCGATCCACCATTTCCAGTTGTAGCACGGATATTGTTCACATGTGGTTACTTGGCTATGATTAAAGAGGCAGCTTTACATCTCAATGTTAGTGTAGTATTCTTAATATCTGACTTCCACAAGTATTCAGTTCAATTCAATTTTATTTGTGCAGCACCAAATCACAACAACAGTCGTCTCAAGGTGCTTTATATTGTAAGGTAGACCTACATACATACAGAGAAAAACCCAACAATCATATGACCCCCTATGAGCAAGGTGACAGTGGGAAGGAAAAACTCCCTTTTAACAGGAAAAAACCTCCAACAGAACCAGGCTCAAGGAGGGGCGGGGCCATCTGCTGTGATCGGTTGGGGTGAGAGAAGGAAGACAGGATGAAGACATGCTGTGGAACAGCCAAAGATTAATAACAAGTATGATTCAGTGCAAAGAGGTCTATGAACACAATGGCTGTATCCCAATTCAGGGTCTGAAGCCTTAAAGGCCGCATTTTAAGGCCGATTGCGTCACAGCGACACGACGAAGGCTGTCCCAATTCAAAGGCTGCTCGAAATGCGGCCCTCAAATGCGTCCTTCATTTTCCTGAATTTTAAGGATGTGGCGGTGTAGACTTCGTGGCCCAACATATCCCAGAATGCATAGTGCGGCGGTGGGTGTGGATAATTTTGCCGAAAAAAAACGGCGGATGAGGGGCGCCCGAAGAGTAAACTTTAAGTAAGTACTGAATATTATGTCACTTATTTATGTGCGAATGTTTAATAATGAAGAACATTAAAATATTGCTGTTGGCAACATGTCGGCGAAGTTATGTGACATTAGTGACGTTTGTACTAACTTGGTTTTAAAGCCTTTACTTTAAAATATACACGTTCAATAGCTGAGCTTAATCCTACAGAGAATGATCAAAGCTCATGTAGAAAGAAACAAACAAAAGATTTTTTCCTTCATTTCTGTCAAACAAAGCTGTATGAAACGTTTCCAGCTGTTAGTATCATGGTTGCTAGGCAACCTGGGCAGCGCGACGGAGGCTAGACCGTCCCATTTTACGAGCCTCGCACTTCTGGCCTTAGCGGTCTTTGAGTACGCGGCCCTTGTGGATCGTTAAGGCTGCGTACTTTAAGGCTGCAGACCCTGAATTGGGATACAGCCATAGTGAGTGAGAAAGGTGACTGAAGAAGAAATACTCAGTGCATCATGGGAATCCCCCAGCAGCCTACACCTATTGCAGCATAACTAAGGGAGGATCCAGGGTCACCTGGTCCAGCCCTAACTATATGCTTTAGCAAAAAGGAAAATTTGAAGCCTAATCTTAAAAGTAGAGATAGTGTCTGTCTCCTGAATCCAAACTGGAAGCTGGAAGTCATTAAGATAAGATGGGGCCTGATTATTTAAGACCTTGTATGTGAGGAGCAGGATTGTTAAATTCAATTCTGGATTTAACAGGGAGCCAATGAAAGGAAGCCAACACAGGAGAAATCTGCTCTCTCTTTCTAGTCCCTGTCAGGACTCTTGCTGCAGCATTTTGGATTAAATGAAGGCTTTTCAGGGAGTTTTTAGGACTTCCTGATAATAATGAATGACTACTACTACTTTTAGAGCTATTGCGCAGTGTTACTGGAGGCCAAGGTAATGCCATCCAGAGTAAGGATCTGGTTAGATACCATATTTCTAAGACGAATACAATAACCTCAGTTTTATCAGAATTTAGAAACAGAAAGTTAGAGGTCATCCAGGTCTTTATGTCTTTAAGACATTCCTGCAGTTTAACTAATTGGTGTGTGTTATCTGGCTTCATGAACAGATAAATTTGTGAAGCCAGATAAAACACAAGTTTGGTGTCTTCTGCTTAGCAGTAGCAGGGCTTTCTTACAAAGCAGCAAACTATTTCTCCAGGCTAAATGATGATCTTCTAAATGTGTGATACACCACTTCCTCTCCAACTTATGAGTTATTTGCTTTAGGCTACGTGTTTGAGAATTATACCAGGGAGTCAAGTACTTCTGATTTGAGGCCTACAGGAGCTACAGTATCCAGAGTCACTCATAGTGAGGTTAAATTATTAACAAGATAATCAACCTCTGTTGGAGTAGCGTTCAGGTAGCGGCTCTGCTGTGTGTTGGTACAGGGCATTGAAGACGGTCAGTGGGTGGATTATATTCTTAAACTTAGTTGCAGCACATTCAGAAAGACGTCCACTGTGATGAAATCTACTCCCCACTGCTCTGTAATCAATTGCTGTAAATTTAAATGTTATCAGGAAATGATCAGACAATAAAGAAGTAATGCAGAAGGCCAAGCACCAAAATCAAACACACCGTAATGCAGGTTTATGATTTCATGAAACTCTATACGCAGATCATAAGCATTAGCAGTGAGTGTGTTTCAAACATCACGCGTGATTTTACTGTGACGTGCAGCTGCTGCTGTGTGCCGTTTGCACGGAGTAGTCCAGCTGCGTGGGTCTCACCTGTGTGCGCCCGGGCTGAGGGACAGTCACATCAGAGCGCAGTCTGAGGACTGACGGAGCTCCGAACTCACTCACTCTAATGGCTCTCATCAACCTGCTGCCTGACATGCCCGCACATGCGCTCAGATAAATCAACCTTGAAACTCGGACGTCGTACTCTTCAGGACTTCCACACTGCGTCAAATTGCGCTGCTTCTTCTACGTTTTGGGGCATTTGTTGAAGGTTTTCTGTATTGTCGCCCTCTCCTGTGCGGCTGGGGAAGTGCTCCGTCGACTACATCTGCAGTCCAGGCCAACACTGAGCGCACACGGCTTTTACTTTGTAATTCTGTGGGATACTCCAGCACAGCTGCACAAGTATTATGTGTTACATTTAGCAGTACTTTTTTTTAAATACCACACAATATTTACACATCACACTGGAATTATTATGCAAAGTCTGTCTGATACTCGACACTGATCACAGTTGTTAGCTGGATCCTTTTCCACTAATTTCAGTGCACGTCAGCACAGTAAGTCCAGTTCTTAATGTGGCATTCATCTGTGTTGTATGTGTGTCAGGAAAATTTACTCTGCTCATTTTCAAATCTGAAATTTTCGGATTTGAAACTGTAAAAGTGGAGCACTGTCAGAGGAACATACTGGGCGGTTGCCCAGGGCCGCATCGTGGTGGGGCGGCATCACGGGCAACAAAAAAAAGTTGCTCGTACTCATGCTGCCCCGACGTCAGCCAGCGCATTTTGGCGATGACTATGGGCACCGATCGGTTTTCCATCGCCCGTTTGCTGGGAGTAAGGGCGCCCTCCGTTTGCGAGGTGCGGAGGAGAGGGCGGGGCGGCGGGGGATTCTCTGGCTGGCTGGAGCAGCATCTAATAACCAACTCACAAAATAAAACAAAATATAAACAAACCAACAAACACGAAAACACCAGACATGATACAGACTTATAATTTGCACCGATGTTTTTTCGAAATTCTATACGTGAAAAGTGAGCGCGAGAGCCCTCGGTGCGCCTGCTCGCTGCTGAAGTCAAAATAAACTTTATTGTCATCTCCACTACATACAGTCCAGTATATAGAGAGACGAGACAACGAGGCTCCAGTTACAGCAGTGCAAGTAAACAAACATTATATATAAGAAGAGTAAGAAAATAAATATACAATTTAGGACTCGGGGTAAAGGGATCAATAACAATTTAACATTTATAATTTACTGTTTGATGATTTAAAGTCTCACTCAACTTGTTGAAAGGGGAAGGGGGCGGCTGCTTCCAAATAGAGCACATTTCATTCATAATGTTGTAAATCCAAGCCCATTATGTATTCATGATTTGAATCCTGGGCTGTGCGAAATCCCAGAAATAAACCCTAGACAAAGCGAATCTGTGAACTAAGGTGTAGGTCTGTTAGGTTATGTTGTGGTGATCCTCGTGTTGGGGCATGGGTGTTCTACAGTGCAAAATTAAAACCAATGGAAGGTGGACAAGAAAAGGTCAAAGCCATCAGGTGCTCAGCCAGAGGGGGTGTTCGCCCAGGGCACCAAACAGGCTAGGACCACCATTGGCTACTTGGATTAGGGGAGTATTAGTTGGCCTCTCTCAGCCTTTAGGCCATTCGGGCTTATTTGAATGTTGTTTGCTTTACACAGCACAGGAACACACACTACGCATTACCACTGAACTGACAACATATTTGACTTTTGTTGGGCTTTTTTTGTTGTTGTTTTATTTTTATTTATTTTTTTATAAATTAGCTTTTTGTGCAACTAATGTGTGATGTCCATCTTTTGTGGTGTCCTTGTCACGGTTCTGGGTCAGTTTGACCCAGTATTTTGAGTTGTCATGTTTTTGCAGGTTTAGTTTAGTTCCATGTGTCATTCTCTCTATGTCGAGTCTGCGTCTTAGTGTGATGGTTTCTTGTTCCTGTTTTATTGTGAAGGTCTGCGTCTCATGTGAGTGTGTTCAGTTTTACCTCTGTCTCGTCTTGTTGATTATTCCCAGCTGTGTCCACCACCTGTGTGTAATTCCCCTGTGTTTCTCTGTGTATCCACCATGTCTCACCCGTGTGTTCTCCCTGCTGTCCATCGTCATTCTCCTCTGCTTGTTCTCATTCTTGTCCAGGTTTGTGCTCGGTAGTTTAGTTGTTTCCAGTCTAGTTTAGTTCGTGCTCTATTTGCTGTTTGTCTATATTTATTTTGTATTTAATAAACCACCCTCACCCCTTTACAAGTGCCTGCTTTTGGATCCTCCTTTATTTCCCACACGGCTCATCGCACTCGCCGTGACAGTCCTTGTGTGGTGTCCATCATTTTGGCTGATCAAAAATCTTCATAGTGTCACTACAGGCCAAGGTAATGCCGTCCATGGTAAGTATCTGGTTAGATGCCATGTTTTTAAGAATTTTAGGGTTAGTTTTGTCTGAATTTGAAGCAGAAAATTAGAGTTCGTCCAGGCCTTTATGCCTATAAGACATGTTGTATTTGTGTCATCTGACTTCATAAATAACCATAACCATTTGGAGTGGAGGGCCCACTCCTGAAGAAATTCTATGACTCTGTTGTGGCTTCTGCTATCTTTTATGGCGTGGTCTGCTGGGGCGGCAGCATCTCTGCTGGGGACAGGAAGAGACTGAACAGGGTGATCCGAAGGGCCAGCTCTGTTCTAGGATGCCCTCTGGACCCAGTGGAGGTGGTGAGTGACAGGAGAACGGCGGCTAAGCTGTCATCCCTGATGGACAACATCTCCCACCCCATGCAGCAGACTGTGACAGCACTGAGCAGCTCCTTCAGTGGGAGACTGCGGCACCCACGGTGTGGGACGGAGAGATTTCGCAGGTCTTTCCTCCCCACTGCTGTCAGACTCCATAATAAAGACTTTAACTGATCAAGCACACACATCCATACATATGCAATAATACTAAGTGCAACAATCCTTTCTGTCATCGTTGTATTTTTACTCAGTTGTATATAGTATTTGTATTTGTATTCTATTTTTATCTTATTGTATATTTATTTTATTTTATTCTACTGTATATAGTATTTTATTTTATTCTATTCTGTACAGTTGTGTACTGTATTTATTCTTATTGTATTCTAATTTTTGCCTCATAACTTTTGCACTGTCCACTTCCTGCTGTGACAAAACAAATTTCCCACGTGTGGGACTAATAAAGGTTATCTTATCTTATCTTATCTTATAACTGGGTATCAGCTGCATTGCATTGGAAATGCATCCTGTGTCTTCTAATAATACTTCCTAATTGGAGTAGGATTATGTAAAAAGGTCCCAGCAGAAAGGCAGCTGCTTGAAATGAGAGGTTGCAAATCTTTAGTTATATCATGGAGCTAGATTAAAATTCCCCCAGGAAATCTGAACAGAACCTTTAAAATCCAAATGCAACTTAACTGAATTGTAAAAGAGTGGACAAGCTCAAAATGTAACAACCCTCAACTTCTGTCCCTTCCAGGACTCTGACTGAGTGACTATAATAGTTAATATAGCCTAAGAGCAAGTACTTGGCAACAGTGAGAAGGAAAAACTCCCTTTTAACAGGAAACAGCTTTGACAGCGGGAGAAAGAGAGAGCATACTTTCATTCTTGTAAAAAGATTATGCCATCTCAAGAGCAACAGAAGCATGAATTGTCAGAGAAACAAAGCACCTTCAGCACATCCAAACAGATGGAACAAGAGAAGGTTTCTAGGTCGAGCTGAACTCCTTTCTCTGCCATTTCAGTGACTGTGTGAGTTTCTCTTCCTTATAACTGAAACTAGTCTGAGCTCTGATCTCAACATCATGTGTTTCTGCAGTGAATGGAGCCTGTCAAGTTTCATTCCAGGAGGAGGACTGGTTTGTGAGCGATACTGTGTTGAACCCTTTTGTAAATGTAGTTCTTACATCAACTTTTAAGCTTCTTAACTTCTTATAGCTTCTTATTCTATATAAATAAACTTCACTTTAGAAATGTCAGAGTTCTCACTGAAGTAAACAAACAGTCCTTCAGGTTTAGTCAATGCAGGAGGATAATGATCCTAAACATACAGATAAGGCAGCCACTGACATGATACTTCTGTTGCATTTTAAGTTTATGTTCATTTCAATGGTTTCTGTCCTTAAAACAAACATCAAAGATGAGAGGGTGCAGCAGGCGTAGTAGTTGATATATGAGGCAGTAAATAAGTGAAAGGGTTTTCAAACACATTCAGCTCCACAAAAATGTGATAAATGTTTGACAATAATAATAAAAAGAAACTCTGACTCCTTCTTTTATTAAAAAAAAAAAAAAAAAAAAGCACCGGACCTTCCTTGCTAAGTGCTCGGAGCAAAACTCTCCTTCTCTCCCCTTACTAGGAGTTTCTGCTGTTGACCCACTAGATGGCAGGCTTTTGCCATGAGCAGGCCAGGAATAAACATATTTGTTGACACATCTATTCAGTTACTTACAGCAATAATGACTACGACCTATAACATACCTCAGAAACAATCCGAGGGACAGAATACTCAGTTACGTTGCAATAGGTTTAGGCAGCTGGGGTATTCTCATGATGCACTGAGTGTTTCTTCTTCCAGTCAGCCTTTTTTAGTCACTAGTGTTTATACATCTCTCGATATTTAATTGTTAGTTATGTATAATATCTGGCTCGCTTCCACAGTGTGTCGTGTCCCGATTTCCTCCCGTCACCTCCAACCAGTCGTGGCAATTGGTTAAATTGAATTGAATTGAGACCTCCAGCCTGCAGATGTGGCTGTTGAGACATTTTGGTGAAAATTTTAATCATGGATTCTTTCCAAAACATGGATATAAAACTGAGCAAACACCTGGATTTTCAAGAGAAGAGTGAGAGATGATTTCTTTGTGATGTAATTTTATTTGTAAATAACATTAATACTAGTGAATAAAATGACTTCACTAGCTGGGCCCATGTCCTCATTTTAAGTTTTTTAAGCAGTTTAGTATAGGTAAAAGTGAATGCTTTGACATGAATTGAGCTGCGGTTTGGGGAAGGCCTCGAAGGGGACTGGCGATGGCTCCTGGGCCTGGCAGATCCCAATGTACTAAATAGAAGTGAAGAAGTTGAAGAATGGAAAAGGAGGGAGGGAGGGTTGGGCACGTAAACGAGAATGATCAGCTTGCAGAACTAGGGGAACCTATATAGATGACAGCCGGAAGGAGTGTGTTTGGAGGTGT